CTAATCTAGTATGTTTAAATTCAAGTGTCTTGAAAACTCAATTTGGGATGGCAAGTTGTGTGTATATTATTTCTATTAAAGAAATAACTGACTTAATGTAACTTGTATTGTCCATGATAGGGTTGGACAGAACAGGACATACATTTCTGGGGGGAAATTTAAGACAGAGAGTGTGTTGGGGGTCACCTTGCAGTATAACCAAAGCTGGTGAGAGATGGATTGTAACCCAAGTGTATCTGGCAGGCTGCAGTTGCACACAGACACGGAGGGTGCGGCTTGCATGCTGGAAGGCTGCTTGTGAGAGGCACAAGTAGAACTCCTTCAGCAAGGCATTGTAAGGCACCCAAGATTGCAGGGGAAGGGTGACACAGCTGCTCATTAGTCTAGATTGTACCATGGTATGTCACAATGGGATTGTCATATTGTTGATGACATGGTTTGTAAGAGCAATAACATGCTCTTCATCCCTCTTCAGGGCAGAGACAAGTACTTGTCTGTAGGAGAGAAAAAGAGCCTGCAGCACTAGGCCTGGTGGAAGATCTGAGGCCTGAACCATAGTCAGCAAAGTCAGGCCATGCCAGGAACCAAAATCAGGTCATCTATTAAAGTAGATGCTTACAAGTTTACTGTCCAATACATGACCTTGGCAAAGGCATTGCTAGTGATGCCAAAACACAGGCATTCCTAAGAAACAAAAGATACTGGGTATGTGTGTGAACACATTCCAAAAGATTAGCCCAGGTACATCCTGACCTAACACAAGATAAGATGGTTTGATTGAAGTGATGAATAGAGATGTTTTGCCCAAGACACCTGGAGCAAGATACAAGAGGCAGTAACAAACAGATGTCATGAAACACATAAGGGGGTACCTAAGTTGTACTCTATAAATGTCGAGGTACTTCCCTGTAACCCTTTGTGTGGTCTAGGGGACAGCAGAGATTCCTGCTGCAGACTGAGCTGTTCCTTGCCACAGAGAACTCATGTGTTAGTATACCTGTAACCACAGAGCCAGGGCACTAGTACTGTGCCATGAGGACAATAAACCTGTCCGAGTGCCTTTGTCACTGAACCGTACCTGTAGTCTTTCTTTACACTGAGGTCTGCTGAATTAGCAAGCTGTGCTATTGTAACCCACAGGCCTAATAGGGAAATCTATTGGGGAGTGGGTAGGAGTGGGTTGTGTCTGGGTCATTGTTGCTAGGCAGATGCACAATTAACACTTCACAACCAGAAGTTTCTGGAATTGGGTGTGGTAGTTTAGGGTATACTCATTAGGTTCCCTGTTGCTGGGGTCAGACTCCATGAGGGCAAGCAGTCAAGGCAACTGCTTTACAAAAGGCCATGTGCCCTGTGTGGGCTGGGAGAAGCTGAGCCCAGGAGCAGGAAGCAGGCTGTTTTCCCTAAGTCTGAAGCATTTTGCAGCAGGTTAGTGACATTGTTAACCCTCCAACACGGAAGTTCTGGCAGATCCGATACCACAGTGATGGGAGCTCTATAAATATATGTAATAATAAAATAATTATAATATTAATAGAGATAATTTGAAGTATCTCAGGACTTCTATACAATGAAGTTTAGCCATATCTGAACATAGTTTTCAGTAACTGTGTTAGGTGAACTGTGGCTGAACATAGTTTATCTATATGGAGAAGAACAAACATTCAGCATTGTGTTAGCTAACCATGATTAAACCCTTACGATGAGCTCCATGATGAAAGCACAGTCTTTTAATCTGCAGTTTGTTCCGTTGATTGAATTGAGACGAGTCATGGAGTGACTTACTCCTAACAAGAAGTGTAACAGAATTAGACCCATTGTGATTATTATTGACAGCATCCAGGATTTTCCAACAAGATGATCTGACCTCCCCCAAAATGAAGATGAAATCAAAGGATAGGACATTTTTGATCAATTCTTCATTGCTAGAATGTAAATCATGTCTTCATTCTCCTGCTGTCACTGTTTGAGTTTCCCATGTTTATTGTGTAATTAATGGGAAGAAAAAAACAAAGACAAAAAAATGTGTTCACTTTCCACTAAGTAAACTAATTGACCTTAAGTATTGCTTTATTCAGGAAATACAGACTTTTCAAAGGACATCAAATAGGAACTGTTTAGCTGTAACTGGTATTGAATAGGTGCAATTGTACTGTATTAGTGCATTATCAGTGAGTGCCTACAATTTTTTTCTATTAGATGAGATTTGCCGTTATGCAAGTGACTGTTAAATTGGCTTTCACAATGAAATAAAACTTCTCCAGTGAAACCACAGCAGCAGCTCAGCGTCTCACACATGCAGACACCAACCTCAACATGGTAACTTCAAAATGTCAGTGGGACCATTTAAAAGCTATAATTTTTAAGCCAGAGCAGTTAAAATTAGACACTCACATGGAGTCCAGGCACTCTTACTAAATAGTGGATCTGGCCTTAAACGTTAAATTTAAAAAAATAGATGTGCTACATCATATATTCAGATCATCAGAAATATCATATGTTAAATTTAACCACCTCATTAATCCTCACATTCCATAATTAGTGCACAGCTTTGCTGGGAGTCTTTCCCCATTCCCATAAAAGCTTTAGTAGGGTGTTCAATCTGTTGAACGAAATC